AGTGGAGTCGAAAATTTGGAGGTAAATAAAACACCGAAACCCGGCAAATAAATAGGCGGTCAAATTTTTAGAGGGGTCGAAATTTTGGAGTTTTCGCGGTGTTAATTATTCCATTTCAATGAAACTTAGTACAAAGATGCTCTAGGACAATGTACAAACCTAATTAGTTTGGGGTAAAAATCTGTTCATATTAATTCCCTAATAAGCATAATAATTCATAATTTTTTGGTTCTGTTACATTGCGCAGACCTCATTAGTTTTACACTCAAATCTGGTCATATTAATTTTCTGATTTGCATAATTAGTTTTCAGCTAAGTAATTTCGAATTATATTTAATGTGTCTCCAATACTCTCAGCACATGGGAGTTCTTTCTAAGCTTTCTTTGATTTTATTATTATTATTTATTGGGAACGAAAAGTCTTTATCGTAGTGCTTCGCCTCGGTTGACAATGAGCTCTTCGGGTCGCTAAAACTGTATGTCCACCTCTGTTGGGGTGAACATTTGTATTATTACATGTATACCGAATAAATCTTAAAACAGAAATTGACCCTTACCGATTCATATTTATGAATTAATCGGGATTCAGGTACCATAGTGTTTTGTAACAGAGTATTCCTAAAGATACGCAAAAAAAAAAAACGCTTTCGCGTGGGATTTTTCATGCAAACATTGTCAATGGTTCCCCGACACTGATTCTTTTTTAACTTTCAATTTTTCCAAGACGCGGCAAACCCTGCTCATGACCGAAGACGTCGTCGAGATGCAGGTGCGATTCCTCTTAGCAACGCGTTCTATTTATTTCCAACGCGTGTGGTCGGCGCCTTTGATTGCATTTATTTTGTTCTTTTATTTACGCAATCTATCACTGGCAGCGTTTGTTTTGTCGCGTCGCACAACTTACGTCCAAGCTGACTTTGTTTTGGCTGTAAGTGAACTACGTATAGCTCATGGAAGTATTTCGCCCAGAGTTCGCAAAACGGGATACCCTGCAAAATTTTAATCCTTTATTTTATAACGAGACATTGGGCGCAAACATAAAAACCATAATTGTAATTCAACAAGTTTATACAACGTGTTAGTCCACTTGCCAGCCGCCTAGTTAAAAAACGTGATCTCCATTGACAACTTCGGACAAGTAAGATGGGCGCTGGCCGACATTAAATTTGCAAGTATTGTATTTGTTTGACAAATTGTACAGTATGGTCATTCTATAACAATCGATTGGTCGTTTTTTTTCACAGTCTTACTATTCCTGCAGATATTCTTATATAGGTGCCACGGGTTTAAATAACTACAACTCGTGTTAAACCCAAACCATGCGTGCATGTCAACCGTCACCCTACACACGGTTACTCATAGAATACCGTACTCTACAGTAGACATTTTTCGCTCTCCACCAAAAATAGAATGGTTTTATTTCATATTACCTGTGTCTGTGTCAGTGCCGTATTTGATTTCACATGTTTGGTTCGATCTTGTTCATGGTGGACATTATTACTACGTGTATGTATTATTACCAATTTTATATGGCAGTGTGATCCACCATATTTTTTTAACGGTCGTCCTATAAATTTCTGATTGTATTTATTATTCTTTTAACATCATAAAAACAAAAATGATACACTTGTACATAAAACAATAGGTAATGAACTGTAAATGCGGGCAGTTGCGTTGTCAGGCGAGCGAGCGAGCGAGCGGATACTTCCGGATTTGTGCGGTCGAAAAAAAAGCGAAAATTGTCCGGTCCAATTGAACAAAGCGAGCGGAAAAAAAGCGATCGAAATCCGGAAGCGGGCGGGAGGTTGGGCGAAATGAGTACTGTATAATAGTAAATCCAAAATTAAAGATTTTGACACAAATTGAGCAAATCCAAGTAAGATACACCCAAGTTGCCTATATAACAAACTAGAAAGCATTCAGAATTAAGGTTTCAAAGAAGAAGTCAAAAATTCACAAAGATATTCATCAAAAATACAAAATTTGAGATTTTGACATGAAATGAAGAAATCAGAGATCCACCCAAGGTGTGTAGACAGGTAACATTGGTCTATAAGGCAACAACAGTATCGTGTTTGCCCTATTAGTAACACATACAGTTATGTAATTTATAAAGGTCACAATGTTTCTATTATCAAAATTAGTCGTAGACAACAAATGATATTTTAAGTTTATCTGTGCTTCTTATGGAGTGAATAAGATATAAAGATGTCGTTCTTCATGAAACAACAGGTTTTGAGAGAAAAACTATAATCAAAGAATTTTTAGAAAGAACTCCTGTGTGCCGACAGT